GAAAAAAAAAAAATACACATCAATTCACTATTTCAGGAATTTTGAATTTACCTATTGGTCACACCTCTTTCTACCAAAAGGTTTTGCTGTAGTTCTGGTCTGGTTCTTTCAGGGATATCATAGCAATAAAAAAAAAAATCCACATTTATGTATGCAAACAAATTAATGCTCTAACAGTTTGGCAGGCTTCACTTTGAGTTAGTAATTTTTTAGGTGAACACAAAAAATGGAAGCCATTTCTAGTCAGTATGTTCCCCTTTGTGATGCCTGCATATATATATTAAAAAACCCCACCTCTCTCTAGATGGAATCTCCTGTGTTAACCTTTACACTGGAGTAAATATTTATGACAGTGCTACAAACATCTGGAATATTTTTTTTTACAATGGAAAGGATGACTCAAGCTCAAAGAGCAAATGGTAATATTATTTCTTAGTCTTTTTGCTCTGCTGTTGAGTGCTTTTTCTTGTAGAGGTACAGTAAAACCCTGAGATCACGGAACTTCTCAGTGTTGCAGAATCCTTCCCAAATTATTTGAATGCATTTGTCTTGGTTAAGCAGTGAGCTCAGTGAACAAATGCTCTTTTCACAGTTGGCAAAGCCAAACTGATAGGTATGATTTTAACTACAAGAGTTACAGAAAAAGTTCTACTACAGTGAAGTATTCTTGATGTTTTAATATTAGTTTACAATTTTTTTTTTTTAAGAACTTATGTGAATTTTGGCTTTCAACAGTTTAAAGGCTTTAACTTTCAAGATCAGAATCAAAGCTATTTACGTTTGAAAGGTACAGTGCTGACATGCAAGGAAGCAATATTTTACAGACATACAAACTTCACCGTCCCTTTGCTCTTGAATGTTACTTTTTGAAGACAAACTTACATTTATTGGCAAGAAGTTCATCAAAAGCTTCTGACCACAGCTGGGCTTCTTCAGGGGAAGGTCTGCATAAAGAGATGGAGAACATTAGACTTCACTGCTCAAGCTTTCTTGTTTTGTAAAACACTCGGGTTAGTTAAAGTCTCATTCTTGTAACTTGCCTGAAGTAGTTGTGGTGTTTCCCTGCTTTTTTAGATTTCATTTTAGTAGAACTGGAAGAGTTCTGCAGGAAGTAGCTCAGTCTTGTTTTCCAATCTTTAATGCTGGAAGAACAAAGAAGAAGACGCATGTTAAAAATGACAGCTCGAAAAGCTTCAGTCACCAGCCCCTTTCCTGGCAAAGGCTGCGAAAGTTTTTCCAGG